TAATACCGCTTCACATTGCTGCAACCCCATTTTTGTGCGTGTATGCAGTGCGACTTTCATGCGACCTGATGTAACTTTAGAGTCTATGGGCATTAAAGGCGCATCAAGGTAGCGCAGGAACCTTTCGACTTGATTGGAACGCCCACCATTGAAATGAATAGGTTTTCGCTGGTCATGCATCTCTACAGGTCGCAAGTTGCATGCCTGATTGCTCCAGCGTGACCCGGGGCTTAGAACTGAACTTCAGGCGAACTACGTAGACGAGATATACAGTAAATAAGGCCCCATTCACACGAATTTAGCACGACAATGTGTGAAAAATCACGTAATGTTTTGGAATGTACATGAAAAGCTAAACAAATGCTTCTCACGCATGCGATGCCATTCACATAGCCATAGGCAGTGTGTATGTGAGAGTGCACGGTTCAAGGGCAATTCCCATTTCTCTCCGCTGTAGAGGAAGACTGTTGTTTCCAATGGTTTGGATTCTACTACAACAATCTCCTCCTATCTATCAGCAGGCCAAGCTGTCCATAAAATTGGGTAATTTTCTTTAAGAAACCCAAGGATGGGATTATGGAACTAGAATGGAGGTTCCACAACTTCCACATCTCCCATCCTGTTCTTGGATCATCAACATCTACGAATACCATGGTGATTGGATGAAGGTGTTGGTGCTACCTGTGTAAATATATAAATACTGGAGTATCTTCATGACGTTCATTAGACGTGGCTTGGACAAGCTTTGAAACATCCTCAACATTACAGAACAAGTCTAGTTGAATGTGACTAACTCCTGCTAGACCTACCATGACCTGGGTTCATGAGAACCTTCACAGCCTGAAACTCATTAGAACTGAAGAAGGGGCTTATACAACCTATAAAATGGCTTCAACATTACAGAACAAGTCCAGTTGAATGTGACCAACTACTACCAGATATCCCGTGACCTAAGTAGCCTAACCATGACTAGCCTCCAGATGAAAAAGTGGCTTTCAAAAGCTTTAAAACGTCTTCAACAATACAGAACAAGTCTAATGGAATGTGGCGAACTATTACTAGATACACCGTGACTTGGATACACGAGAACCTTCACAGCCTAAAACTCATTAGAACTGAAGAAGGAGCTTATACAACCTATAAAATTGCTTCAACATTACGGAACAAATCCAGATGAATGTGACCAACTACTACCAGAGGTGCCACAGCCTGGATAAATGAGACCCTTCACAGCCAGAAACTCATTAGAACTGAAGAAGTGGCATAGAGAAGCTGCAAAATTTGTTCAGCAATACAAAACAAGTCCAGCTGAATGTGACCAACTACTACTAGATATCCCGTGACCTAAGAAACCTAACCATGACTAACCTCCAGATGAAGAAGTGGTTTGCAAAAGCTTTGAAATGCCTTCAACAATACAGAACAAGTCTAGTGGAATGTGACCAACTATTACTAGATACACCACGACTTGGATACATGGGAACCTTCACAGTCTGAAACTCATTAGAACTAAAGAAGGGGCTTATACAACCTATAAAATTTGTTCAACATTACGGTACAAATCCAGATGAATGTGACCAACTACTACCAGAGATGCCACAGCTTGGATAAATGAGACCCTTCACAGCAGGAAACTCATTAGAACTGAAGAAGTGGCTTGGAGAAGCTACAAAATGTGTTCAGCAATACAAAACAAGTCCAGCTGAATGTGACCAACTATTACTAGATATCCCGTGACCTAAGTAGCCTAACCATGACTAGCCTCCAGATGAAGAAGTGGCTTGCAAAAGCTTTGAAACACCTTCAACAATACAGAACAAGTCTAGCAGAATGTGACCAACTATTACTAGATACACCATGACTTGGATACATAAGAACCTTCACAGTTTGAAAATCATTAGAACTAAAGAAGGGGTTTAGACAACCTATAAAATGTGTTCAACATTACAGAACAAGTCCAGATGAATGTGACCAACTACTACCAGAGATGCCACAGCCTGGATAAATTAGATCCTTCACAGCCGGAAACTCATTAGAACTGAAGAATTGGCATGGCTGCAAAATTTGTTCAGCAATACAAAACAAGTCTAGCTGAATGTGACCAACTACTACTAGATATCCCGTGACCTAAGTAGCCTAACCATGACTAGCCTGCAGATGAAAAAGTGGCTTGCAAAAGCTTTGAAACGTCTTCAAAAATACAGAACAAGTCTAGCGAAATGTGACCAACTATTACTAGATATACCATAACTTAGATACATGGGAACCTTCACAGTTTGAAAATCATTAGAACTAAAGAAGGGGTTTAGACAACCTATAAAATGGCTTCAACATTACAGAACAAGCCTAGATGAATGTGACCAACTACTACCAGATATGCCTCAGCCTGGATAAATGAGACCCTTCACAGCCAGAAACTAATTAGAACTGTAGACGTGGCTTGGACAAGCTTTGAAACATCTTCAACGTTACAGAAGAAGTCTAGTTGAATTTGACCAACTACTACTAGATATACCACGTCTTGGATACACGAGAACCTTCATAGCCTGAAACTCATTGGAACTGAAGAAGGGGCTTATACAACCTATAAAATGGCTTTAACATTACAGAAGAAGGGCAAATGAATGTGACCAACTACTACTAGACATCCCATGACCTAAGTAACCTAACCGAACCATGACTAAACTCCAGGTGAAGAAGCTTTGGACTCCAACACTTCCAGACTCTTTGATTAGGCTAACGATAAAAGTAGCCTCTGGGAGCTTGGAAACTGTTTGGGGCTTAATCTGGGAGGGGTTTGGATGGGTCAGGGGCGTGGCCTCTGCCATCCTTCTATTTAAACTGCCACTTTTGGACAGTCTCCTTTCCGCATCTCCTCGAGACTTCAAAAAGGCTTTGCAAATAAGGGCTCTAAAGCTTTTGTGTATGAAATAGAGTTTCATGACTTGAAAATTAATATCGCCTGCAGAACTTGTAGTGCTGACGATACAGTAATTAAACTGCGTCCACAAGACTTCAAAGATGCCTCTCGAGGCAATCTGTGTCTCCATAAAAATCACAGCCGCATGATGTTCCCATTTGGAAGTCAGGAATCAGGGAAGTTATTGGTTGTAGCTTATACAGGGGACAGTCATAAATTTTGTATTAGTTCTGGAGCAGCTAAACGCTACGTAGACCATTGTTATGCACCGTGCGGCGGCGCGATCAGTGCAGTCATAGGCAAGCGGCAGACCTCAAACTGATAGGAAACCGCAAGACTGAATACGTGCTGCAGGGCATGCTGGGAGTGGCAGCTTATTGACAGCTTGGACGACCATAGGTGGTCAAAACTGAGACCTTTGACTACGTACGCTGTAAGAGAGGATGTAGCTAACATAAGAAGAAAAAAATATTTCATACCAGCTTTAGGAAATGGAGAAAAGTCAAGTACACCAGCCTTGAGATACGTTCACATATTTACTTGTAGAGCCGCCCACGTGAGGGCTGCTGTGGGATTAAACAGGTTCTTTCCCAAGTCAGTGCAAGGTAGCCAGGCAAACAGCAACCGTCCATCCACTCTGGCTCAACAAACAGTCTAGAGCAGGTCTTAAAATTTCGAGTCTAGACCTACCAGCCAGACACAACCTTACTCTCCACCAGTTGCCCCACCCAACCTTGCCCAGGTCCGCCTCCAACCCCACCCCCATTCCCCATTTGTGGTGGAGAGGGTGTCTCCTCTCAGCAGAGGAGAGCGGACCTCTCCTGCACCTGTCCCCTCGGCGACACTGCCTGTGTAATGGGGGTGCCGAAGAAGCCGGAAACCGGAAGTTGGAAACCGGAACTCGGCTTCACAATGAGGCTTGGAGCGCAGGTGCAGCCGCTCCATCATCTGTGCTCGCCGCTCGCCACACAAGAATTTTTCCTCGCATTTGGCGAGCGGGCGAGCGGCTTTTTCAAGCCCTGGTCTAGGTCTTTTTTTTTTGTAGGTTTATAGCTACTGGATGCAGCATGGTACGGTGGCAGTAACTACACAGAGTCCAGATGCAATAAACTGGGTTTGTACTGACGGCACAGTTCAGTGATACTACATTCCTGTGGGAAGGCTACCCAACTGGGAACACTCACAGGTTTCAACAGTGATGTGGGGTGGAGCAAGTCTCAGGAGTGCCAACTGCGTCTGTCTCAGAGGGTGGAAAGTGGCCTGGCCAGTCGTTATCCTGTCCCTACTCGTCTGGAACCTTTCCCCACCACTGTTCACTTTCCGTGTCAAACGGGAGACCTGACCCTACCAGGGGCGGACTGACCATTCGAGCACTCGGGCACTGCCCGAGGGCCGGGGTCAGTAGGGGGCCCCATGAAATGTCCCTGGTACCTTTTTTATAGGCTTTTTTGAGTGTGGGCAAGGACACAGGGGCCCCATGATTCCCTATTGCCCGGGGGCCCCATGAGTTGTCAGTCCACCCCTGGACCCTACACTGTTCACTCCCAAATGAGCGCCAAACCCAGGAGCCAGGTCTTAAATACACTCTAATTAAACAAACGAAAGCAGCGCTCAAATCTCCATGTACACTAGGATAACTGTAACTGTCATTCGTTGAGGTTCAGCCCTTAGAAGATCGGGAAATCTTGATACTGGTGAACAAAAGAAAACAGGGCGCACTCTCTTCGTGCATTACTGTGGTGAAACACAAATTTATTTCAAAGCATATACATGCATATTCACAAACCAAAGGAGGACAAAAACAGAGAAGAAGCGTCCGTAATGACAGTCCAAAGTGACGGTAGACCCTTGGTGAGGTAGGCCAACGCATTTCGGGAAACGTACTCCCTTCTTCAGAGCTCTGTTTTGATTTTGTTCTTAAATACACTCTGCCTGACCCAAGATGGCTGCCAGTGTCACATGGGACAGCAGCATCCAAGCTGATTGCTTCCCCAGGAAACCATAGAGAACAAGTTCCTCCAGACTTTCTCCTACCATAATGTCACTGCGGTTGAACACCACCTGCAGTGGAGAAAATGAAACTGCACCTGCCTACAAGTAGAACTTGGGAGGGGATCTGGGGGTGATGTGGGATACTCCAAAAACGAAACGTATTGCTAGTGGAGGACACGTCTATCCAGGGGCAGACTGACAACTCATGGGGCCCTTGTGTCCTCGCCCACACTCAAACCACACCCAAAAAAGCCTATGACAGGTACCAGGGGCATCTCATGGGGCTCCTTACTGACCCCAGGCCCTCGGGCAGTGCCTGAGTTACCGAATGGTCAGCCCACCCCTGCGTCTATGTTAGTAGTAGTAATAGTATGCAGATAGTAGTAGTAGTAGCAGCAGGACCATCTATAGGTGCACAGCTGGGGACCATGCAGTATTACGCAGAGCAAGTGTTCGAAAGCTGAAACAGTCCACAACCATCACAAGCTTCAGCACAAGTAATGCAGTTCTACTCACGGGACCCTGGAACACACAAAGTCCGTAGCTGCAGCTTCCAACCAAGTAGTCCGGCATCCAGCCCAAGAGTGCTCCTAGGGCAAGCAGCTCCATGAAGCTCAGAGATCCATGCCCACTCAGGGGATAGACCATCTCCTCCGGGCTCCAGACCAATTACCAGGAACCCATCCACCATCTTGGCACACCTCCCCAGGGATTGGCTGAGCCCATCCTAATATTCAGGCTGGGAATCGGAATTCTCTTATCCTAATCTCCAGGCGCTTCTTCTAGAGACAGGGAGAGCTAATCAAACCCCCATCAGCGGAGCTCCGAGCAGACCAGACTAAACAATCCTGTAGTTACAGCGGAAGACCAAACTAAATTTACCCAGCAGCCTAACTAGGGGGCGTTACATACTCGTCCCACAGACCCGAAGAATTTGTGTTCAGGAATTCACGGGTTTACTATAGATCAGTAATGTGTTTATGTTGTGTGCTGCCCTGGGCAACACAAAAAATTTGCCACCACCAATGGCCGCCCACCCAGACGCCCCCACCCACTCTCCCACTCGCCCGCTGATTCCCTCCGGGAGAGAAGGAGAGAGGCTCACCATCACACCCTTCCTGGAGTCCATTCTTCTGTTCAGTCTCAGTGCCCCTCGGAAACCTCCTCGGCGAGCTCACCACACAGGAACCGGGACAACCAGCATCCCTTCTCCCCTGAAAAATGCCGCCCAAGGCAAACGCCTTGATTGCCTCGTGGCACATACGCCCTTGCTATAGATTCGATTTTTCAAGGGCGTCCTCTCCAACTACATATCCAGATTTCCCCAGCGTGTAGGAAGATGGCACAAAGTGCTGCATGTACTTTGTCCCCTGGAGGACAGAACACGGTAATAAAAAAGAAATGAGACTTATATAAAAACTGAAAAAGTAATATATCTCAGTTTACCAGTCATTAGATGTGGCGGCTGCATTCGTTTTCTTTTTTAGGCTTTTCCCCCCTGTTGTCACCTGGTGATCTGGCCAGTAAACACACCTCCTGTGTTGGATGAAGACACACAGGGGGCACCTTTGGACAGCAGCATTGTCAGTCTGGGGGGTGGGGGGGGGAGTGTTAGATGGACTATCAGATTTATATACACTAACAAATTGAAGTCAAACTCCAGCTCACACTTTATAATCAGTTACAGTAACAGTTTTTGTTTTCCTTTTGGAAAGGGTTTACATCAATAAAAGCTGATTATAGTAAGTATCCCTGTCCAGTGGTAAATGGTTTGTCTCCTCTCTGTAACTGCTACATCTGCAGGACAGCTTGCTCTTTTGAAAAACAACAGACTTACTGGCAGAATCACCGAGAGAAAATAAAGAAAAGCAAGTCCAAAAAAAAGAAAACTAATGCAACCATCACATCTAAGAACTAGTAAGCGGCAATATAATAAATGTTTGCTTTTGGGTTTAATACAGGAGATAGGTTAAGTCAGTGGCCCGGCTATGTGCTCCGGCAACAAGACGGTGATGATACCTGGTGTAGGGATGGTGTGGGTGCAGCGCTTGGATCACAAGACGGTGATGATACCTGGTGTAGGGATGGCGTTGGGTGCAGTGCTTGGATCACAAGACGGTGATGATACCTGGTGTAGGGATGGCGTGGGTGCAGCGCTTGGACCACAAGACGGTGATACCTGGTGTAGGGATGGTGTGGGTGCAGCGCTTGGACCACAAGACGGTGATGGTACCTGGTGTAGGGATGGTGTGGGTGCAGTGCTTGGATCACAAGACGGTGATGATACCTGGTGTAGGGATGGTGTGGGTGCAGTGCTTGGACCACAAGACGGTGATGGTACCTGGTGTAGGGATGGTGTGGGTTCAGTGCTTGGATCACAAGACGGTGATGATACCTGGTGTAGGGATGGGTGTGGGTTCAGTGCTTGGATCACAAGACGGTGATGATACCTGGTGTAGGGATGGTGTGGGTGCAGTGCTTGGACCACAAGACGGTGATGATACCTGGTGTAGGGATGGTGTGGGTGCAGTGCTTGAACCACAAGACGGTGATGATACCTGGAGTAGGGATGGTGTGGGTGCAGCGCTTGAACCACAAGACGGTGATGATACCTGGTGTAGGGATGGTGTGGGTTCAGTGCTTGGATCACAAGACGGTGATGATACCTGGTGTAGGGATGGTGTGGGTGCAGTGCTTGGACTACAAGACGGTGATGATACCTGGTGTAGGGACGGTGTGGGTTCAGCGCTTGGATCACAAGACGGTGATGATACCTGGTGTAGGGACGGTGTGGGTTCAGCGCTTGGATCACAAGACGGTGATAATACCTGGTGTAGGGATGGTGTGGGTGCAGTGCTTGGATCACAAGACGGTGATGATACCTGGTGTAGGGATGGTGTGGGTGCAGTGCTTGGACCACAAGACGATGATGATACCTGGTTTAGGGATGGTGTGGGTGCAGCGCTTGGATCACAAGACGGTGGTGATACCTGGTGTAGGGATGGTGTGGGTGCAGTGCTTGGATCACAAGACGGTGATGATACCTGGTGTAGGGATGGTGTGGGTTCAGCGCTTGGACCACAAGACGGTGATGATACCTGGTGTAGGGATGGTGTGGGTGCAGCGCTTGGACCACAAGACGGTGATGATACCTGGTGTAGGGATGGTGTGGGTGCAGCGCTTGGACCAAGACGGTGATGATACCTGGAGTAGGGATGGTGTGGGTGCAGCGCTTGGACCACAAGACGGTGATGATACCTGGTGTAGGGATGGTGTGGGTTCAGTGCTTGGACCACAAGGCGGTGATGATACCTGGTGTAGGGATGGTGTGGGTGCAGTGCTTGGACTACAAGACGGTGATGATACCTGGAGTAGGGATGGTGTGGGTGCAGCGCTTGAACCACAAGACGGTGATGATACCTGGTGTAGGGATGGTGTGAGTTCAGCGCTTGGACCACAAGACGGTGATGATACCTGGTGTAGGGATGGTGTGAGTTCAGCGCTTGGACCACAAGATGGTGATACCTGGTGTAGGGATGGTGTGGTGGAGGGATCTCTTTAATGATGGTTGTGTTGGGATTGTTGGGGTTACAATGGATTTCCTCCTTAGCTGTAAAAACATCTCAGCGGGATTTTTTTAATATCATCTCTGATGATACCTGGTGTAGGGATGGTGTGGGTTCAGCGCTTGGACCACAAGACGGTGATGATACCTGGTGTAGGGATGGTGTGGGTGCAGCGCTTGGACCACAAGACGGTGATGATACCTGGTGTAGGGATGGTGTGGGTGCAGCGCTTGGACCACAAGACGGTGATGATACCTGGTGTAGGGATGGTGTGGGTTCAGTGCTTGGACCACAAGGCGGTGATGATACCTGGTGTAGGGATGGTGTGGGTGCAGTGCTTGAACCACAAGACGGTGATGATACCTGGTGTAGGGATGGTGTGAGTTCAGCGCTTGGACCACAAGACGGTGATGATACCTGGAGTAGGGATGGTGTGGGTGCAGTGCTTGGACCACAAGACGGTGATGATACCTGGTGTAGGGATGGTGTGGGTGCAGTGCTGGAACCACAAGACGGTGATGATACCTGGTGTAGGGATGGTGTGGGTGCAGTGCTTGAACCACAAGACGGTGATGATACCTGGAGTAGGGATGGTGTGGGTGCAGCGCTTGAACCACAAGACGGTGATGATACCTGGTGTAGGGATGGTGTGGGTGCAGTGCTTGGACTACAAGACGGTGATGATACCTGGAGTAGGGATGGTGTGGGTGCAGTGCTTGGAACACAAGACGGTGATGATACCTGGTGTAGGGATGGTGTGGGTTCAGCGCTTGGACCACAAGACGGTGATGATACCTGGTGTAGGGATGGTGTGGGTGCAGCGCTTGGATCACAAGACGGTGGTGATACCTGGTGTAGGGATGGTGTGGGTGCAGCGCTTGGACCACAAGACGGTGATGATACCTGGTGTAGGGATGGTGTGGGTTCAGTGCTTGGACCACAAGGCGGTGATGATACCTGGTGTAGGGATGGTGTGGGTGCAGTGCTTGGACTACAAGACGGTGATGATACCTGGAGTGGATGGTGTGGGTGCAGTGCTTGGACCACAAGACGGTGATGATACCTGGTGTAGGGATGGTGTGGGTGCAGTGCTTGGATCACAAGACGGTGATGATACCTGGTGTAGGGATGGTGTGGGTTCAGCGCTTGGACCACAAGACGGTGATGATACCTGGTGTAGGGATGGTGTGGGTGCAGCGCTTGGATCACAAGACGGTGGTGATACCTGGTGTAGGGATGGTGTGGGTGCAGCGCTTGGACCACAAGACGGTGATGATACCTGGTGTAGGGATGGTGTGGGTTCAGTGCTTGGACCACAAGGCGGTGATGATACCTGGTGTAGGGATGGTGTGGGTTCAGTGCTTGGACTACAAGACGGTGATGATACCTGGAGTAGGGATGGTGTGGGTGCAGCGCTTGAACCACAAGACGGTGATGATACCTGGTGTAGGGATGGTGTGAGTTCAGCGCTTGGACCACAAGACGGTGATGATACCTGGTGTAGGGATGGTGTGAGTTCAGCGCTTGGACCACAAGATGGTGATACCTGGTGTAGGGATGGTGTGGGTTCAGCGCTTGGACCACAAGACGGTGATGATACC